TGGACTCTCTGTATTGCCCGTGGTGTCCCTCACAACCTGAGATGGTGGAACACTTCCTGCTGTGGTGCCCACGTTATCACTCTGCACGGACTACGCTCCGTGCGGCCTTGCGCATGCTTGGGGTGCACACTTTCACTCTACCTGTCCTCCTCAATGGGGAGGGGTTTTGCCCTCTGGACCATCAGGAGATACTGGCCTGTACCTGCTCCTTCCTGCTGGCTTCAGGGCGTATCAGAGACATATGATAAATAGTTATGAGACAAGACATTCTTCCACTTTGGTCGATATCCCCTCTCCTAGCACTGGACAGCCGGGCTCGATACGGCGTATGCTGTCAGTGGCCCTGAAACCCAATAGAAGAAGAATTGTAATGACACCAAAAAAAACATAATCTGATGAAAAACTGATGGAATTATGCTCTTGCGAGTTAGCGACCTTGGCGATATTTACAAATTGGCGATTTCATCCACTATGAGCCCTATTTTCGGCTAATTCCATTGTTCCAGTCGACCAAACTCGTAGCTATTTCTTTAGAACTCCGTTTTTTCAATCAATTGAGTACAAGAAACTGTCCATTTACTGATTTCAACTACCCAATAACGTGGTCAGAAATTAGCAATTTGGCCAATTTCACGAAAATTAAAAAATATGACAATTTCAAAATAAGGTCCAGAATGAACAATGCAGACATACCTGGCTCTAAAATAACATTTTCTTTGTTCATCAGTCACGTCTCTAGGCCACACTGATATTACTCTTACTTTCTACTTTGAATTTTTATTCAAACAAAAAATAGAAGATTTACTGTTATGCAGACTACTGCAATAATTGTACAAATAATGTCAACCCATTCATGACTGCATATTAGAACGGCTAGTTGGACATTTATTGGACAATGACATTTGTTTACTTCTAAGCATCGGCAAAAATCAAACATTTCCCATACTTTGAGCTCCATTTTCAGGTTCTTTTTATAGTAAAACCAATCAATATCACCTCTATTTCTATAATATGTTTTCCATTCTATCAAATGAGACCAAGAAAACGAGAATACAACCATAAATACTATACGAAAATAGACCACAAAATCGGCAATTAAAAAAAAAAAACTGTCCAAGTTTTTTTTCTCATTATGCACTGAGTGCTCCAGGATTTTTTTTTATATGGTGCACACTGACCACACAGACCCATTCTCTCACATGTGGGCCTACCAGCTTTCTCCTGCTTGATTTGAAGCCGCTAGAATTTGTGAGTATACATACGTCAAACACGGTACCTTATAAGACGTATATATACGACCCAAACAGTCAAAGGGTTAATATATTTATAGATGGGGTTTGTAAAAGAAGAAAATGCTAGGGTGCTCGGGAGAGGGGTGGGATTAAATTATGGGGAATCAAATACAAAATGGGAATTGACACAGTTACTTTTTGCTGATGGTACTGTGCTTATGGGAGATTCTAAAGAAAAATTGCAAAGGTTAGTGGATGAGTTTGGGAGTGTGTGTAAAGGTAGAAAGTTGAAAGTGAACATAGAAAAGAGTAAGGTGATGAGGGTATCAAATGATTTGGATAAAGAAAAATTGGATATCAAATTGAGGAGGAGGAGTATGGAAGAAGTGAATGTTTTCAGATACTTGGGAGTTGATGTGTCAGCGGAGTAAATTTATGAAGGATGAGGTTAATCATAGAACTAATGAACGAAAAAAGGCGAGTGGTGCACTGAGGTATATGTGGAGACAAAAAACATTATCTATGGAGGCAAAGAAGGGAATGTATGAAAGTATAGTAGTACCAACACTCTTATATGGGTGTGAAGATTGGGTTGTAAATGCTGCAGCGAGGAGGCGGTTGGAGGCAGTGCAGATGTCCTGTCTAAGGGCAATGTGTGGTGTAAATATTTTGCAGAAAATTCAGAGTGTGGAAATTAGGAGGTGTGGAGTTAATAAAAGTATTAGTCTGAGGGCTGAAGAGGGGTTGTTGAGGTGGTTTGGTCATTTAGAGAGAATGGATCAAAATAGAATGACATGGAGAGCGTATAAATCTATAGGGAAAGGAAGGCGGGGTAGGGGTCATCCTCGAAAAGGTTGGAGGGGTTAAAGGAGGTTTTGTGGGTGAGGGGCTTGGACTTCCAGCAAGCGTGCATGAGCACGTTAGATAGGAGTGAATGGAGACAAATGGTATTTGGGATTGACGAGCTGTTGGAGTGCAAGTATGGTAATATTTAGTGAAGGGATTCAGGGAAACCGGTTATTTTTATATAGCCGGACTTGAGTCCTAGAAATGGGAACTACAATGCCTGCACTTTAAAGGAGGGGTTTGGGATATTGGCAGTTTGGAGGGACATGTTGTGCATCTTTATACGTATATGCTTCTAAACTGTTGTATTATGAGCACCTCTGCAAAAACAGTGATTATGTGTGAGTGAGGTGAAAGTGTTGAATGATAATGAAAGTATTTTCTTTTTGGGGATTTTCTTTCTTTTTGGGTCACCCTGCCTTGGTGGGAGATGGCCGACTTGTTAAAAAAAAAAAAAAAAAAAAAAAAAACATACATGTATGTGTAATGTGACCTAAGTGTAAGTAGATGTAGCAAGCTATACCTGTTATCTTGTGCATTTATGAGAAAGAAAAACACCAACAATCCTACCGAAAAAATAATACACAAGTGACTTTACTCCTACCTTACATCTAACAACATACTTAACCCATGCCAGTTTGGGTTTAGACCAAAAAAAATTCCGAATGACACTATTATACAAATGCTTGAACTAATATACACAGCTCTTGATAAAAATGAATATCCTCTGGGGCTCTTTATCGACCTACGAAAAGCGTTTGATACAGTCGACCACAATCTCTTGCACCTCAAACTGAATCATTACGGCATTAGAGGACATTCTCTTGACTACCTAAAATCCTATCTTAACGACAGACACAAGTATGCACATGCAAATGGAGTCACTTCCACTATCCAACCTGTAGCTGTAGGAGTACCCCAGGGTAGTGTCCTAGGCCCACTCCTCTTTCTCATCTACATCAATGATCTCCCCAATGCATCCCAACTCCTTAAACCAGTTCTATTCACAGATGACACTACATATGTCTACTCCCATTGAGACCCAGCTGTACTTAGAAACACTGTAAACAATGAACTGCTAAAGATATATACTTAGATGATGACCAACAAACTCACTCTCAGCATATACAAAACATACTTCATGCTGTTTGGCAACAGAGCTTTAAATATACAACTCAACATACTGTTAAATGGTTCCCCTATATCAAGACACATGGAGGGCAAATTTCTAGGTCGTCTCCTTGACTGTAATCTTAAATTTCAGTACCATACCCATCACATAGCCAAGAAAATTTCCAAATCAATAGGAATCCTTTCCAAGATACAATACTATGTACCACAAATGACTCTCCTTACCCTGTACCACTCTCTTATATATCCTTACCTCACCTATAGTATTTGTGCCTGGGGTTCAACCACAGCCAACCACCTTAGACCCTTAATAATCCAACAAAAACTGCTGTGCGGGTGATAACCAGCTCCTGTGCTAGACAGCACACCCCACCACTTTTCAAAAGACTTAACTTGCTAAATATACAAGACTTTCTTCTTTCAACAAACCAGCCATATCCCACCGAGGCAGGGTGGCCCAAAAAGAAAAACGAAAGTTTCTCTTTTTAAATTTAGTAATTTATACAGAAGAGGTTACTAACCCCTTGCTCCCATACACTCTTATTATTGTGCCTACTACATATACAGAGCATTAAACTCCATTGTAAACCCTCCCCTAAAACCACTCCTTGACAGTTACAACAGAATGCAAAACCACAATACAAGGCATAAGGCACTTTTTAACATCCCTCGAGTCAGTCTCTCACTATGCTATACATATAAAGGGCCCAAAGATCTGGAACTCGCTACCGGAACAGGTCAAGGATCCCCTGACAGCTTATAAATTTAGGACTTGGCTAAAAAATCATCTTATCTCACAATATTAACCAAATCAACTAAAACATCTGCTAACTAGTTTCATTATGAGATCTCTACACTCTTAATTCTGCCAATCCATAAAATCATCATCATTTTTTTTTTCAACAAGTCGGCAGTCTCCCACCGAGGCAGGGTGACCCAAAAAGAAACAAAATTCCCAAAAAGAAAATACTTTCATCATCATTCAACAGCAACCACCCAGGGAGGTACTACCGTTCTGCCAAGTGAGTGTAAAACGCAAGCCTGTAATTGTTTTACATGATGGTAGGACTGCTGGTGTCTTTTGTCTGTCTCATAAATATGCAAGATTACAGGTATCGTCTTGCTACTTCTACTTACACTTAGGTCACACTACACGTTTATTTATACTCATTCATCTGAGTTTTCTTTGATTTTATCTTAGTTTTTGTTCTAATTACCTTTCCTTTTATATCCATGGGGAAGTGGAATAAGAATCTTTCCTCCGTAAGCCATGCGTGTTGTAAAAGTCAACTAAAATGCCGTGAACAATGGGCTAGTAACCCCTTTTCCTGTAATAATTACTAAAAAGAATAAGAAGAAGAAAATTGTCAAAATCATCTTATCTCTCAATATTAACCAAATCAGCCAAAAAATCTGCTAATTAGTTTTATTACGTGACCTCCTGGCTTTTAATTCTGCCAATCCATAAAATGTTACCACCTGCACCATTAATTGTAAGGTAGATTTTGTTTGCAATTTCAAGATAATTTTACCGAACCCTACTCCACCTTACTGTCTCTCACTTGTATTAATTTTAAATAAGATTGTACAACAGTTAATCACTACTATAGTTACTATGTACTATTATCTTATCTATTTTTAATTAGTTACTATGTATTAGGATTAGTTTGCCCTAGATGCCTCGGCATGATAGTGGCTATATTTGTACTTAGCAAATCAAAGCTGTAATTGCACATTGTAACCTTTACAAAGAAATAAACATTACTTTACTTTACTTTTACCACTGTGTAAAACAGCACATACAAACTATACAACAAAGAAGATACCTACATCATCTTTACACTTGTCAAGAAGAATAGGATCCATCTTGTAGTTGAGAGCAGCAGTGCGAGCAATGGAAATGATCTGAATCTTGCATGTTGAGCTCAACTTGTTGTCAGGAAGTTGTTCCTGCAGTATTGTTAAGGCAGTGTTTATAAAAATATCACAAGCTACTACCAATCTATATTGCAGAAGAATTTGTTAAGGAAATCTTGTCAATATAGTACTGTACTGTACTTATAGCCTTGAAAAAAATATGTAATTCACAAAGGCACACCAAATAAAAAATTAATAGGAAAATGTGGTTATTTCATCCATGGAGGTAAAAGATAAGTCCGGTTCTCTGGTTCAAGAGCCCCTCACCAACATCAAGACAAAATGAAATAATGTAAAATAATACTATACCATTTTGAGATTAAAAGCAGAAAGACAACACCTATACTTACACACCCTGGCCTTGGTGGAAAATGGCTGATGTGCAATAAAAAAAAAATGAAGCTTCAGTCCCTCCTGGACCAATGTCAAATCAGTTGTCATATGACAGTAGTCAAGGGTGCACCAAAGTGTCATCTTTATATGCTTCCTCTAAGTAAAAGTTTTTGGTGAATTGTTCCAGCCAGAGAAATAGTGATCATTTTATTCATCATTAATGGCAATATTATTGGATAAAAAAAAAAATTGTCATTCAACATCTTGTGAGTGCTGAGTAAGGGGTATCCCAGTGGATATAATTCAGATTTTGACAGATTAAAACAAACCTTCAAGCATTCAGTAACCAAGCCATTAAGCTCAGTATTAGTAGTTCTCTCCCTTTCAAAGAGTTTGTGACAAAATTTGGCCATGTCATGTCTGCAAGCTTTAAGGAGGTCTGGGTTGAGGCGAGTATCTGTAGTCTGTTCCACCATCCGACGGATGACAAGAGCACGACAATTTCCATCGAAGTTTACGTTCTCTTTATAGTCCTACAAGAAAACTGTATATTAACTACATGTTTAAGGATGCCAAGAAATAATTTTTAACTGTTATAATTTCTTCAAGATCAGTTACAGGTGAGTGACTGAAGTGCTGGGCCATTTGCAAGTTGGCATCCGAAAACAAGATACTATACAGTATTCAAACCATACACAATGAATGCTGCTTAAGAACACTGTCAATGATATGTTTTTCATGGAAAACACAAACATGAGAAATAACATTATTATTCAGTAGGTATCAATGAATCACAGATCCCGTGGAGCTTGAACCCATAAAAGGTATATCCTAAACCTCAGAGAACAGTATGCTTACTACAATGGCTAACATTCATGTGTGATCACAAAGGGGCCCATGCTAACCTCTCAATGGTTTATAGAAATGTACCTAGTTGGGCGAATCTTCTTACAACCAGTTGGTTCGGTGGTTAGCACACTAGTCTGTGAGCTTTAGGACTCGCTTGCCATGGGTTTGAGCCCCACCAATTCTGTGATTTGTTTGCAATGAAAATGAGGTAAAAAGGATAAACAAGTACAGTGGGTTATATCTCTAGTGGCCTGATGTACAGTCCTATACTAATAACAATGTCACACTTTCACACAGGATTAGCAGCCTATTTCTAAGTTAAGATGAGTTAGGTTAGAGTGAGTTAGGCAAGTCAGGCTAGGTTAGGTTACAATGGAAAAACTACTAATACAAGATAAAAATTTATAAAACAGTCTGCCGAGTGAACAGCAAATATGCATTTACTGTGCACAGCTCATGTAACTCCTATTCAACTGTTCAAGGCTGCCTTAACCCTTTGACTGTCGCAGGCCCCTTTCTGAAACTGTCATTCTATGTCGCAAAATATTAAAAAAAAAAAAAATTCTTATGAAAATGTTAAGATTATTTTTCTGAGTGTTTTAGTAAAAAAAAAAAATTTTTGTCATCAGTACTTACCGAGATATAGAGGCATGAAGTTTGCAGAAAATGAGCCGTGTATGGCAACAGCGGCGACTGACGCTCACCCGGTAAACTTTGGTTTACTTGTATTTGAAGGTTTGTTGTTTTTTTCACTATTTAATTTTTTAACATAACCTATGTGGCCTGTGAGACCAAAGTAAGGTGCAATGTACATACATACACTCATTGTATACAACACAATAAGCACACAAACATAATTATCAATATATTGTTTACAAAACTTGTTTACAAAAACAAACAATAAAAAAATTTTTTATTACTATTGTTCTATAATATATATACCAATGTACAGTCACCAAACATATTCCTAGAAGTTCTGCACCTTGTGGAACTCTTTGAAACATGGTGTCATACACAATGGTGTTTTACACTCCTCACACATAAAACCAGTGTGTGTACATTTTTGTGGACTTTTTTTTTATGTGCAAAAACAAAACGCCTTGTCTGAGCAGTTTTCTTCAAAGTATTAGCAGGCAGTTGTGTTATGTAGTTTCTTTTTTTTTTCAACAAGTCGGCCGTCTCCCACCGAGGCAGGGTGACCCAAAAAAGAAAGAAAATCCCCAAAAAGAAAATGCTTTCATCATCATTCAACACTTTCACCACACTCTCACATTATCAATGCTTTTGCAGAGGTGCTCAGAATACAACAGTTTAGAAGCATATACCTATAAAGATACACAACATATCCCTCCAAACTGCCAATATGTAGTTATCCTAGGTAAATGGTCATGTGTCATCATTCCTTCCTTCCTGCATTCATTTCCTACCTTCCTTCCTATCTTCCTGCATTCATTTCCTACCTTCCTTCCTATCTTCCTGCAATCCTTTCCTACCTACCTTCCTGCATTCCTTTCCTACCTTCCTTCCTACATTCTTTCGTCTTTCCTTACTCTTTTCCTTCCTTTCATCTCGTCCTTCCTTCATTCCTGCCTTCCATTCTTCCTTCCTTCTGGTTTCTATAATATACATACAGTGGACCCCCGCATAACGATATTAATCCGTTCCTGAGAGCTCACTGTTATGCGAAATTATCGTTATGCGAATGAATTTTCCCCATAAGAAATAATGGAAATCAAATTAATCGGTGCAAGACACCCCAAAGTATGAAAAAAATTTTTTTTACCACATGAAATATTAATTTTAATACACACAAACTGAGAAAGATATGCACAGTTACATGACACTTACCTTTATTGAAGATCTGGTGATGATTGATGGGATGGGAGGAGGAGAGAGTCTTAGTGTTTAGAATGGGAATCCCCTTCCATTAAGACTTGAGGTGTCAAGTCCTTTTCCGGGGTTACTTCCCTTCTTCTTTTAATGCCAATAGGACCAGCTTCAGAGTCACTGGACTTCTGTCGCACAACATATCTGTCCATAGAGGCCTGCACCTCCCGTTCCTTTATGACTTCCCTAAAGTGGTTCACAACATTGTCAGTGTAATAGTCACCAGCACGGCTTGCAATAGCTGTGTTAGGGCGATTGTCAAAAAGGTTTGCACTTTAAGCCACATTGCACACATTTCCTTAATCTTTGAAGTAGGCAACTTCTTCAATTTCTCTCTCCCCTCCTCCGAACCAGTTTCCTCAGGTCTGGCCTCATGCTGATGAAGATAATCTAGCAGCTCATCAGTGGTTAGTTCTAAATTGCCCTCCTCCACCAACTCTTCCACATCATCCCCACTAACCTCCAACCCCAAGGACTTCCCCAATGCCACAATGGATTCCTCAACTGGCATAGGATTCCCAGGGTTAGCCTCAAACCCTTTAAAATCCCTTTGGTCTACACATTCTGGCCACAGTTTCTTCCAAGCAGAGTTCAAGGTCCTCTTAGTCACTCCCTCCCAAGCCTTACCTACAAGGTTTACACAATTGAGGATATTAAAGTGCTCTCTCCAAAACTCTCTTAGAGTCAATTGAGTTTCTGAGGTCACTACAAAGCACCTTTCAAACAGAGCTTTTGTGTACAGTTTTTTGAAGTTTGCAATAACCTGCTGGTCCATGGGCTGCAGGAGAGGAGTGGTATTAGGAGGCAAAAACTTCACCTTAATGAAGCTCATGTCCCCATAAAGTCACTCTGCCACGTCTGTAGGATGACCAGGGGCATTGTCTAACACCAGGAGGCACTTAAGGTCTAATTTCTTTTCAGTTAGGTAATTTTTCACATTGGGGGCAAATGCTTGGTGTAACCAGTCATAGAAAAAGTCCCTAGTGACCCATGCCTTACTGTTTGCCCTCCACAGCACACACAAATTAGCCTTGAGGATATTCTTTTGCCTGAATGCTCTGGGAGTTTCTGAGTGATACACTAATAAAGGCTTCACTTTGCAATCACCACTAGCATTGGAACACATCAACAGAGTAAGCCTGTCTTTCATAAGCTTATGTCCTCGGAGTGCCTTTTCCTCCTCAGTAATGTAGGTCCTGCTTGGCATTTTCTTCCAAAACAGGCCTGTTTCATCAAAATTAAACACTTGTTCAGGTTTCAGTCCTTCACTGTCTATGTACTCCTTGAATTCCTGCACATATTTTTCAGCTGCTTTGTGGTCTGAACTGGCAGCCTCACCATGCCTTATCACACTATGTATGCCACTACGCTTCTTAAATCTCTCAAACCAACCTTCGCTGGCCTTAAATTCACTCACATCATCACTAGTTGCAGGCATTTTTTTAATTAAATCCTGATGCAACTTCCTAGCCTTTTCACTTATGATCACTTGAGAGATGCTATCTCCTGCTATCTGTTTTTCATTTATCCACACCAATAAGAGTCTCTCAACATCTTCTATCACTTGCGATTTGTTTCGAAAAACAAAGTTGAACCTTTGGCAAGAACAATTTCCTTGATTGCTGTTTTCTTGGACAAATAGTAGCGATGGTAGATTGGGGTTTACTATACAACCTGGACAGCTCGGAGACACGCACTCCACTTTCATACTTAGCAATGATCTCTTTCTTCATCTCTATAGTAATTCTCACCCTTATTCCTGTAGGGTTGGCACTAGAAGCTTTCTTGGGGCCCATGGTCACTTATTTTGCAGATAAAATCACCAAAAACACTGTAATAATACAAAATGTTCCGATTGTATGCTTGGATGTTAACGCGGAGGCTGGCTGGTAAACAATGCCACTGGTGGAACATGTGAGGCTGACTCAGGCCGCACATTAGACCCATCTCGGACGAATAGCGTTGAGCGGGTTCTTTAGCAGTATGCAAGGCAAAATCTTAGCGATAAAATGTATCGGTATGCGGATTTAACGTTATGTGGTGCCAACGGTATGTGGGGGTCCACTGTACACATATACAGTGGTTGGTGCAATTATTTAATAAATGCATGGAAGAGGGTAAGGTACCTAGGGATTGGCAGAGAGCATGCATAGTTCCTTTGTATAAAGGCAAAGGGGATAAAAGAGAGTGCAAAAATTATAGGGGGATAAGTAGGATAAGTAGGTAGTAGGTTGGTAGACAGCAACCGCCCAGGGAGGTACTACCGTCCTGCCAAGTGAGTGTAAAACGAAAGCCTGTAATTGTTTTACATGATGGTAGGATTGCTGGTGTCCTTTTTTCTGTCTCATGAACATGCAAGATTTCAGGTATGTCTTGCTACTTCTACTTACACTTAGGTCACACTACACATACATGTACAAGCACATATATACGCACCCCTCTGGGTTTTCTTCTATTTTCTTTCTAGTTCTTATTCTTGTTTATTTCCTCTTATCTCCATGGGGAAGTGGAACAGAATTCTTCCTCCGTAAGCCATGCGTGTTGTAAGAGGCGACTAAAATGCCGGGAGCAAGGGGCTAGTAACCTCTTCTCCTGTATATATTACTAAATGTAAAAGGAGAAACTTTTGTTTTTCCTTTTGGGCCACCCCACCTCAGTGGGATACAGCCGGTGTGTTGAAAGATGAAGTCTGTTGAGTATACCTGGTAAAGTGTATGGTAGTTATTATTGAAAGAATTAAGAGTAAGATGGAGAATAGGATAGCAGATGAACAAGGAGGCTTTAGGAAAGGTAGGGG